CATCTTTGCACTGTCTGTTCCTGCTGCCTGGAACTCCCTTCCCCCTCATCCTCTAGCCGCCTGCTGGTCCTTCACACCCTCCTCCAGGTGCCAAGTAGGTGTGCCTCCCCCAGGAAGCCCTCCTGGCCCACAGCATTTGGGTCTTCTCATTTACACTGTCCAGGGCTGGTGCAGCCTGAGTCCCCTCCACTACGAGTCATGTGACCTTCAGGGCAGCTGTGTCTAAGCCCCTGCTCCCCCAGACTCTGAATTTTTGGAGTGAGCCCCACGTAGAGGCACAGCGATAACTCAGTGAACCGCTGTCACGGGAAGGGCTGGAGAGAGATCAAGACTCTTCGGGTGAACCTGGATTCTGAGCCATCAGCGAGAGCAGTGAAGAGGGCCTGGAACGTGGGCCTGAGCTGACGTCATATCTGGGTGTCCTGTGAGCCCGAGCCCCTTCCTCTGTGACTTCTGGGGCCACAGTCCAGCCCAACAGGACCCATCGGTGCAGAGAAGAATCGACATCACCCGGCACAGAGAAACTGGGGCTGGAGCCAGGCTCGGGGCTCGTGCTCCGTCTCTCTCTGGGTCCATCTCACAGAGTCTGTTTCTCTCAGTCTACGTCCATATGTCTGAGTCTTTTGCTCTTCCCGATCTCTTTCTACATTCCTCTTTCTCTCAACAGAATTGTCACTCTGACCCTCTGTCTCTTTCTCTATAGCACCCACTGTCCTGGAGAACGGCTCATCTCTGCCAGTGCTGGAGGGCCAGTCCCTGCGCCTGGTCTGTGGTGTCAACAGCAACTCTCCTGCCAGGCTGAGCTGGACCCGGGAAAGCCTGACCCTGTATCCCTCACAACCCTCGGGACCTCTTTTGCTGGAGCTGGCTCGAGTGCACCTCAGGGATGAAGGAGAATTCACCTGCCGAGCTCAGATCCCTCTGGGCACCCAGCACGTCTCCCTGTGCCTCTCCCTGCAGCGTGAGTGTCAGGGGCTGCACACCAGACCCCAGCCATGACTCGCAGCCCCGGGTCACCGAGCAAGCAGCCCCTGGGCTCAGTGGGGTCAGAGGGCTGTGCCCCACTCAGGGTCACACTCAGCTGTGAGCCCAGAGCGTCCCCAGGGCCAGAGCCCTCCGCCTGCTGTGGTCCGTCCTGGCAGGGGCGGGTCAGCCCTGTGCTGAGGTGGCCCCACACCCAGGGACACAGCGAGGCCTGGGGAGCCCACAGCCGAGTCCCAGTGGGGGAGGTAGGACGCGGACTGTGGTTTCGAGGGGAAGCCGGCTCACCCCACTGTCCACAGGGAAACCGGGGCCCGTGGCAGAGGTGACTCTGGTGGCCGTCGTGGGATCTGCTGTGAAGATCCTGCTTCTCTGCCTCTGCCTCATCTTCCTCAGGTGAGCACGGCCCCAGGGACAAGGGCAGGGGTGGGAGGGCTGGGGACACGACCTGATCCCCATGCCCTGTGCTGGAGGGACCAGAAAGGGGACAGGGCCTGGGCCATCAGGGCTGAGCGGGTGGTGAGATCCCACGCGGCCAGTGTGTCTGTTCCCAGCTCTGGACGGGGGTCCAGGGGGGACGTTCCTGCTGTCATCGAGGGGGCCTTGGGGTCTGACCTGTTCTCTCCTCCTCAGTCCCCTCTTGCCCCTGACAGGGCCCAGGGAGGTGCAGCTGCTGCCCTCTGCACCCCGGTCCTGCCCCATGACAGGCCCTGGTCTGTTCCCTCAGAGTGAGGTCCCGCAGGGGGAAGGTGCACTGGGCAGCAGGGGGCACGGAGGATGCAGACACTGTCACGGGCTAATTCCTCAGGTGAGTGATGTGATGTCTCAGCTCCCACAACCCACTGGACACCTCCTCCGTGATGGCCTCCAGGATTGCTCTGATCAGCATGGCCAAGTTGAGCTCCCCATCTCCTCCCCAAGCCCCCTTGTCCTGCTGGGTCCCCCGTTTGGCTGATGACTGGGTGGCTGAGTCTCTATGTGCAGATCCAGGGTGAGGTTCCCCACCTTGACCCCCTTCCCCACACCCCATGGGTCACTCACTCTTGTCCCTCCTTCTCCTGAGCTCGGCTCATCCTGAGCACTTTTCTCCACCGGCCCTGGTCATTCCTGGGGCCTCACTTCTTCCCTGCTCCCTGAGTCCACCCCACCCCTGCCTCCGTCTCTCCCCAGCACAGGCCTCCAGACTGGGCCTCCAGATATGTCCTTGTCTGGCCCCGAGCAGTGTGGACGGCCGTGCCTCCCCCATTGCTGGAGAACGAGGTGCAAACGCCACGGCCGGGACTGGGGGCCTCGCAGGGTCTGTCCCCTGCCGGACTGTCCTCCTAATCCCTCCCTTCTCTGCGTCTCCCCACGTGTCCCCACAACCCCTAGGTCAAGCCCTCTGTGACTCTGAGGCTTTGCATGTGCAGTTCCTCCTCCTGAAACGCCCTTCCCTCCCCACCCCTATCTCTGCCAGCCCTGGTCACCTGCAGGCCCCGTCTCCACTGCCATCTAGGTATGTGTGTGTGTGTGTGTGTGTGCGTGAGTCTCGTATGACACAAACTGGAGGGTGCCGTCCCTCCATTCACTAACAGAGGTCCTTGGTGGCTGCTGGTGTCCCCTGCGCTGTCCCAGCCCTACTGTGCATGCAGGGAGTGTCCGCACACGCAGCCTCAGGTCCGTCGTCGGGAGCTGTTGCTCTGCAGACTGGATGGAAAAGGGTGAAAATGGATAAAGAATGTGAGGCCATGCTGAGTGGCTACCTGGGTTAGAGAGAAAATAACTCAGAGAAAGGAGAATAGAACACACTGGGGACAGTTTCCGTGTGACGGTGTGAGGAGGTGGTGTCTGGGCACAGTGTGAGGGAGGTGAGGAGTCAGGCTCTGCATGTGAGTCAGGAACAGCGTCGCAGGAGGAGGGAAGAGGGAACAGTAAGCGCAGTGCTCAGAGGCAGCGGCAGGCCGGGTGCTGGGGACTCTCCGGGGCCCATGTGTGAGAGCAGAGGCGGCAGGAGGAGGAGCAGGGGGAGGACAGGGCTGACACCCAGGAACCTGGAGCCTTTGGGGACAGCAGAGACACGACTGCACTTGCACCATGACAGGTCCTCGGCTGCCCTGGTCAGGGAGACTGGGAAGGCGCCATCAGGGGGAGGGACGACTGCAGTAGAGGGGTGGGGCCGGGCTGAGCACGTGCTTTGGGACATGTGGAAGGTCACGCTCACAAGGTTTATGATGGGCATGGTCATCAGGGGACTGGAAAACACGGATGATCCAGAGTCATACTCTTAGCTCCTGGAAGGGAGCTGTGTCCACAGGGGCTGCGGAGGGAGGGCTTTGCAGGGCAGGGTCAGTCCTGACAGTCCACCTGGCGTCGGAGTGGGGACACCAGGGATACAGCTGGACACGCGTGTTGGCAGCTCAGTAGGGGACTCCAGGTGGAGTGTTGTGGGCATAACATGGCAACTGACGAGGGAATGAAGGGGTAACGTGAGCAAGTAATTCCTCATAAATCACAAGCAGCATTAGTCTAAATCAGCAAGTGCCCTTGTGCATATATATGAAAATGACTGGAAGCAGGGACTTGATCACATGCTGGCAAACCCGTGTCCATGGCAGAATTATTCACAATAGCCAAGAAGTGGAAGTGACCCAAGTTTCCAGTGACAGATGCATGGATATACAAAAACATGTCTAACTGAAGACAAAATACTATTCTTCCTTTTAGAAAGGACTTTCTGACACATGCCACCAAATGGAAGGACCTTGAGGACACCGTACTAAGTGAAATTCTCAGTCACCAAAAAAACCAATACTCTGTGATTCCACTTCCTTGAGTTAAAGTAGAAACAGAAGTAGAGCAGTGGTCACCAGGAAGTAGGGGATGGGAAGACTTAGGGAACTGTAGTTAATGGGGTGGAGTTTTGGTTTTGCAAGACAAGAAAGCTCTGGAGATGTGTTGCACAACATTGTGAATATACTTATTACCACTGAACTCTGTGCTTAAAAATTGTTAAGATGCATATTCTATGTTATGTGTTTTTTCCACAATTAAAACATTTAAAAAACAAATAATGTATTTTATTCCTTTAAAGGAGCAAAGTACGAAAACCATATGCAAAATCATCTGATAAACTTTAATACCAATTTGTGATTAAAATTCTCAGTAATCTGGAAATAGCAGAGAACACGTACTTTCTGAGGATGGGATCTGCAATATCCCACTATGATCTGTGTTGTGGCCTGATTATAGGACAGAAGATGGACATAGAACATAAAATAATAACACAGACACATATGGACATGAAATGACTTGAATGTCTAATATATGGTCATTTTATTTTTATATTTTTTAGATTTAAGTTTTTTTTGTATGTGAGCATTTTGGCATAGTAGCGATATCTGTTAATTTTGGAGTTGTTTCATAAGGTAATAATTTTTTATGGTCTCAGACCTCGAAACGGTTACATGAGGTGCTAGTGCCAGACATGACTTAAAAGCCAAGGCCGAGTTAAGCAACGTTAAATAATGCAGCCATCAGAAGGACTTTGTGTGCTTTTTTTTTAGCCAGCCGGCTCTCTCTCAGCCAGTGGCTGACCCCTATGGTTGTGTGTGTCTTAGGTCGCTCTTTTTGTGAGCAGTCTTATCTGTCATTGTTTATTAACCTTCAAACGGGAGCCAGGTTTTGGGAATGTTTTCTTTATTAATGCAGCCTCCAGACTCCTACCACGGGGGCCCTCCTTGTGGGAGCTGGGCAGCATTTGCTGACGTGCAGAAATTCAGGCCTCTTATCATGTCACAAGGCAGCAACCATGTCTGAAGAAAATGTTGATTATCATTACATGATGCAGCACCCGTACATTACAGGCTATAGGGAATGATTAGTATAAGGCATAACGCCAGAATCAGCCCCTAACAATCTGAGAGACTGAGAACTTTCTCCCCTAGCATTGGAAACAAGGCAGAGTGGCTGCTGTCGCCACTTCTAGTAAACATATTGCTGCCTCTTCCCAGTGCAATAAAAACAGGAAAAGAAATTAGAGCTATTCAGATCTTAGAGGAGGTAAACATGTTTTTATTCACAGACAACATGATTGAGTACAGACAAAATCCACAGTTATCCACAAAGAAGCTACTAAACCAATAAATGACTAATGGAGGTGGCAGCATATTGGTTCAAACTAGAAAATTCTATTGGATCTCTACATGTTAGCCAAAGACAATTAAAAATAAAATATTTTTTAAAAGTACACTTTAGTATAACATTATAAACATGAAATAAATTTCAAAAATACATGTAAGAACTTTATTTGAAAACTACAAAACATTGCTGAGACAAATAAAAAGAGATCTACATAATATATATGTCCTAAATACATACATGTTTATACATGAAGACACACACACACACACACACAC